CTTTATTTCTTCATCACTGTATGTCCCGTCCCACCACTGTGTATTTCAAATGGTAGGTTCTCTTTTCAAATTAATTGATGAATAACGAAAACATCTGGAACAATGCATTTCCATTAGTATTATAGAAGAGTGACACTACCAGGTTCGGACGTTGAGAGGCCTTGTGGTGAATGAGGTGCTAAGGAAGATATTATTTTATATTGGGTGAGGACCGAGGCTGCAATTCACCCAATTAGCAATGGTGGGGTAAAAATGAAAGCCAATTACCATAGTTCACAAACAAAGCCAAAACAACCAAAAAGAGAAATGAGGAATACTGGATTTCCTGACATTCAAATGTTTTATAGCATTGGTGTTAAAACTCAGATCTACTGAGCGAGCTGCCTTCCAGCACTCAGTTTTGTTTTGCACAGGCCAGTGTGGGTGGAGGGTGGAGACGCTTGTGTGCACCACAGCGAAAGCAGAAATTCAGTCACTCCACAACCCGTCCTGGTCTCGCTGCAAGGAGAAGAGGGCACATCTGCCAGCTCACTGGGCAACGATGCTCACACAGAAGGGAAGCTGTACAGCGAGAGGAGTGTCAAGGACCTGTGGCAACCACCAAGGAGCTGTGAGACGTCACCCCCATGGGAGGTAGCAGACGAGTGGTAAAGGGAATCCAGTATTCCTTCGTGTGTGCTTCTTTAGAAGACCGTGGAATGATTTCCTCAGAAGTGAATCTCCATAAACACTCAGTTGATCTCCAAACATGTATTGATTTCTTATTGCTGCTGCAACAAATTACAACTTAGCTCAAAACGATGCACATTTATTATGTTACAGTCCTGGAAATCAAAAGTTCCAAATGAGTCCCACTGGGCTATACTCCAGGCATCAGGAAGACAAGTTCCTGCAGCAGAAGCCATTTCCTTGTCCTTGTCTGCTTCCTAAGGCTGCCTGCATGCAGTGGCTTGGGGCCCCCTCCATACCCACCCACAGGTCCTCCAGGCCTCTCACTCTGACTTTCCTGACCCCAGCTTTTCAGTAGTCTGGTGATGACTCACACTGGACCACTGGATGACCCAAGCTAATCTTCCTGATCAGCCCTCCATTCTCTTAGGGTGAGATACACACACACAGGCTCAGGGGGTTAGGTTGCTGACATTTCTGGAGGCAGGGATATGACACAGGTTTTACTACACAATTCAATGAAATGTATAGAACATAAGAAAATTAAGAAAGCTTCCAGAAGTGACAAAAAATATCTCATTGCTGGGAAATTTCTTCAGATCTTCCCGGAATCTGGTCTAGTTTTGTGCTAGCCAATATGAAGTATAACAGTACCCTAGGGGAATGATACAATTTAGGATCTAAAGTTCTAGCCAAGTCCATCAAGAAGAAAACTCTCCAACTATCAGTGGTCATGGAGATGCAAACTATTTCATTTTTGTAATAGGTTTTTGCTTTAGGAAAGAATCAGTTTTGCCTTAAATGCATCCTAACTCTAAAAGCAGAATAAAGCCAATACCTGGAGCCAATCCAGGCTGCAAAGGGCACAGGACCAGCACAGCGACTGCCGCGTTAGGTGTCCAATCTCGGGACACACAGTCAGCAGGGGACTTAGCATCTCCACAGACAAAGACAACAGGACTGAGGCCATCAGTATGCAGCCGGATGGAGGAAGTCAGTGGACCCCAGGGTTTGATATATGAAGAAACAAGAAGCCGGCTGTGGCTGGCATTTTTTGCTTCTGGGGGCATCCCAACTGGAAAAGCTTCTTGCTGTGAGAATTACTAAGTGTCTCTTCTCTGAGAAAAGTATGAACCGACCAGCAGCCGTGCACTTCAGACAGTGAGTGCCACCTCCAGAGAGGAAATAAAATCAACTCTGCCTCAAAATAAATTTGACACTGAGGAACGAAATGAGTAGAACTTTTCCTAAAATACATTTTCATAAACAGATGGACAAAATCAGGACACATGTAAGACTTTGGTTACCACATCTGAGTGCATCTGGGTCTTGCTGTCCACATCCTCGACTTGAATGTCATAACTCCTAGGAGCACAGCTACTAAGTGTTTTTAAGGACAATGGTGTTTAGTTCTCTAGGACTATAGCACTGAGGGAAAGTGTCTGGAAACACAAAGCAACCCTTCGACACAGTCGTCTTCCTGACTCATGTTTCCCTTTCTCCTGTTTTAGTTACCTATGGCCAAACACTGAGTGGCGAGGGAGGTCACATTCGTGCAACTTTATTGTAATCTGCTATAATTAATCTACGCTGTCAGTAGGTATGGTTGATTTTCACCATGCCAAATTTGTCAATCACACTTTGTCATAGGGACACATATAGGCAACCTGAACTCTACACAGGGTTTGGCACTGTTCAACATCTCCCCTGGAGGCCTGGGACTGCTGCATACAACCGTCCAAGATGTCTGTGTGACCTTTAGCAGTGACCGTATACGAAAAGGTGATTATATTTAAGAGAGCAAGCTTTGGAGTCAGCTCTAGCCTGAATTCCGGCTTTCTCACTTAACGTTTTTAAAACCTGATTCCTCCTTTGTAAAGTCTCATTAAAGCCGCATTGTGTTGAAACCCAAGTGATAGGAACATTGTGAAAATGTTACATAGTGATTGGAGTGTGGAATATTTTTCTTTTAGAAAAAAGTAGCTGTTAACAGCAACAGCGATCAAACAATAGAATAAATAAGTCAGGGGGCTACCTGCTACTGTACAGCTTAGGGACAAAAATTGTGTTTCCGTTTAGTATTCCAAACAGAAATAAAGCTGCAGTCATTTTTACACTTTAAGTGGAAGACATTCTAACACAGATTCTCAACAAACAAATAAACTAGTTTTTAAATAACAGTCCAGAGTTTTAGACACCTTTTTGCTTTCATTTTCCCATGTACCAGAATCATACTGATACCATAGAAATGAGTGTCTGAAAATGCATGTAATGTTCCTATGCATCTAAATGGTATTTTCTGTGTGTTGTGGGAGAAGGTGTCAGTTCCTAGCTGGTGGAGCGTTGGATGTGACCACTCCAGCTTCCTTGCTGCGAGGAGATACGAGAGGTTCAGCTGTGCTGAGAATTGCTCAGTCACAGAGAGGCAGGGCAGGGCAGCAGCTGGGCCTCCTGACCCAGCCCAGGACCCTCGGGGTGGAAGGTTATTCTGCTCGGGAGAGGGGAAATTCACCACCTGAAGACTTCCGCCTTTTTTGTGTGCATAGACGGATGCCTTAGCAGATGACTGGGGAATCATAGCTGGAGCTCTTATGTTGGCCCAGGTCACTCTTTCCGGAAGGTGTGCATTCCAGCTAAAGTGCCCACGGGGCAGAGCACTCCCCTGTGCTGGCTTAACAAGACTGACGCACAGGGCGGTCCCAGTTCCTTTTTCATCCCTCACTCACTGCCCTCCCCCACCGTCCTTCTCCCGATCCCCTTCCTGCTGAGAAGGACCCATCCCCTCCTTCCTATCACGATTGCTCTTATTGCTCTTGCGCTCTCCTCCCGATTTCTCACAGAAGAGAAGCAGCGTGATAGCTGAGCTTGTGTGGAGCAGCTTCACACAGGGCATGTACGAATTCGGCACTGCATACGGGTACCGAGGGAGAGGAAGGGGACCAAGGGACTGGGGGAGAGGGTGAAAATGGGAATGAAGATGTGGGCCTGTGGCAACGCCACACAAGGAGTGCTGCGCTGTGTACTAATACACCAAGTAATTAAACAATGGGAAAAACAGAATACTTTCCTAAGAATTGGATTTCTGAAAATGTTAACCTGAATTCTGTCTTTGTCCCAATGAAGTCTCTGGGTAAACAATCATAGACAGAAGCCTACAAACTCCAGTGTGACATTATTTCATAAACTAGATAAAATCTTTTGCTTTATTGTTTCAAATACAGAAGATCAACTCAAAATTATGAAGGAGGGAGCAGGAACTGCCGGATGTGAGACGCCTTCATAATACTTTTCAAATGTTGCTGACATTTCTCTTATCCGCACGTGTTGCTGTGAAATTCTCATAACAACTCCAGTAATGAAGGAGAGCTAACACTGGATAGCTGATATTTGCATTATTCCCATGAAAGACTGAGGGAAACCGCTGTGCAAAAGTCTCTAGGTTTCTCTTATAAGGAGAAGAGGAGCATGGCAACCACATATATTTACAAACCTTCAACTCCATGTTGAAAAATACCTTCTACTTCAGAAGATAAATTCCTGGTGTAGAAAAGATGGTTGGCTTTTTAATTTTTTTACAGCAGCAGTAGGAAATAAATTTTACATGACATTGAAAAGTACCTAGCCTAGAAAGCCTGGGTTTCTAACCCAAGGATGTCATGGAATGCGCAGCTTTACCTACGCCTTGTTTTCTGTGTCCCCCTCTGCCGCCTTTGGGCTGAATGTCCACTCTGTCCCCGCAGGTGACAGCCCTACAGACCCTGGGAGCAGGATGATGGGGTGGAGGGCAGGGGAGAGGAAACCAAGGCAGCAGCGGGAGGGCGCGGGGCTCAGCAGTTTCGCTTCCTGCGGGGAGCCGAGCCCTGGGTCAATGCTTCCGGACCAAGGTCCCCGCGCTCCGCAGGTCCCCGTCCCTCTGCCTTCCCACCCTGTTCGC